TTCTAGGTTTCTACCTTGTTTTTATGCTGCCACCCATCAGTATGGTATCTGAGCACCATCTACGCAAACCCAACAGCAATGTGTCCAGTAGACCTCATGAAGTCAGATACTTCTCCCCTGCCCCCAAAATGGGAGAAGAGGGATCACTCTGCTTAGGGTAAAGGGTATGGGAGGAGATATCCAGCAGCTGGGGCCTGAAGACAGAACTTCTGTGTGTCAGGGGCCGCTGATTCTCGGGGGGAGAAATCAGATGGAGACTACAGAAGTGAGAAGCAAAAACTAACAAAAAACCTCACTTTTGGGGGGCTGGATATCATAGGTGGGGTAAGTTATTGCCTTCCCAAACCACAAGTCACGGCCCAGCCCACAGTCTGCCCCCAGAATGTCTATTGTAGGACTACTGGGGATGGAGTCCTGCTACCCCCAGCACCTGTCCTCTACCGCCCCCAGGATGCTGGGGAGGAGAGGGGAGGGGGGGAGAAGAGGGGGAGGTGGAAGCAGAGCTGGTGCAAACACCACCCCACCTTCAAACAGGGAGCCTCTAAGGCAGGGGTCTTGAACTCCCAGCCTACAGGCCATGCCCATTGGAATAGACTGGGCGCGGGGGGGAGAGGACTGGCCCTGCCCGCCACCACCCGGGGCCCTCTAACTCCATGGCACCCTGTGCACTGAGGAACCCAGCCTCGGGGATTAGTGGGGAGGGGGAAGAAAGAGGGGCTGGGTAACAGCAGTAGTCGTCAAGCCCCTTACCCGACCCCCGCTCTCCCTGTGGCAGAAAGAGCAAGTGTGCTCTACTTCCCCTGGCTCCTGCAACAGAGAGTGGGGGGGACCCCACACCAGACCCACCCCTGATGGGATTGCACAGCTATTCCAGTTGGGACGGTCCTGTGGGACAGGAGTTTGAGACCCCCTACTGTAAGTCTGGTATGCCCCATCACAGTCCCCCACCAAGTGGCAACAGGTCTATCAGGAGGAGAGCATCTCCCACCAACATGGCTCAGTCCACACTAATGCTTCTGTTGGTATATCTTAGGTCATTAGGGGTGTGTCTAGACAAGAGGGTTTGTTAGAGAGAGTGAGAGGCAGGGGGGGGAGAAGAGAGAGAGAGAGAACACACCATACACCTTACCTGCATCCTGGTGACAGTAAATTGAAAGAACGCTGTGGTTTTGTTGATAGTGGTAAACCTCATTTTATGAGGAATAACGCCTTTTTTCGAAAGTACTCTTTCGAAAAAAGGCGCAAAGAGTGTCTAGATTTTCAAAAAAACAGCTCACTTTTTCGAAAAATCTTCTTGTCTAGACGCTTTTTCAAAAGAGGCTTTTTCCAACGATTTTTGAAAAAGCCTCTTTCTAAAGAAGCTTGTAGTCTAGACTTATCCTAGGTGTGTGTTTCCTCCCCTCCTCCCCCGCACATCCCCAAAGTGACAAAGTTATACTGACAAAAGCGCTAGTATAGACAGAGTCAACTTGCAAAAAAGCCATCCATTTCTTATCTATAGGAACAATGCATGAGTAAGGGGTTTTAAAGAAAACATTTTAAAATTTTATTTCAGGTGGTTTATTGCATTTTAAAGAACTTGCCAACTCTACAAGAAAATATTTACAAGTGTTCTCAGCAGGATCACACAAGAAACCACACCAACCACGACTCTGTCATTGGCTGTGGAAATACTGTATTCTTTTCAGAGCTCTGAAGGTCACTCAAGGTCAAGGGAAAAATGCATTTTCTAATCATGGATTTAGAAGTGCCTCTCATCCATCCCTTTGCTGCAAGATAGGGTCTGTAGATCAGGTCCTCTTCCTTGTGAATGAGGACTTCTGTCCTCAAGTACATGCTCCTCTTATGTCAGTAATACAGTTAAAGGGATGCCAAGACCAGGGCTGGTAAATGCTTAGAAACTTGTAGATTGGGCCTCCCATTCAGCTTCCTATTGAGGGGCATTTCAGAGCACCAAAGCAGAAAATCAAGTCTAAGTCTGTGGCTCCCTGTGAAACCCAGGCAGGCAGCTCTGTCAAATGGGTATGTCAGCCCAATTCCCCCCCTCCCCCGCACTACCACTGCCTCTTGTGTCAAGAGCATTGCTAACACTGTTCCATTTGAAACTATCTTTGATTTGCCCTACTCCACCGGCTGCTGGGAAGGATCAGTTGGAACATGTACTCAGCACTTTCCTTCTGACCCTTCTACTTAAAGGTCATGTGTTTCTAAGATCAGTGCTCCTTTCTCTTCTGAAGGAGGGCATGGGATAACTAGCCCTCCTTGCATGTTCTATTAAATGCCTGAGAAGCTAGGGAGCTTGGCTTATTCATCAACATTCTGTGTTACACTTTAGTGGCAGCATCTCAAGTTCTCAAAAATTCCTTCATTACACTCTCCTTTGGCACTGCAGTGTGGGGAACAGCAAAGGGCCGTGCTCTGACCTCAGCTACATGTCCACAAATCCTGCTATGTATATAGCTGAAGGCAGCATGTGGCATTCAGTAGCCTACAAACTAGGCTACTATTCTAATTATTCACTACAAAAACCCCCACTCGATGGCCCATATTTCTTTTCACTCCCCTCATACCATGTTCAGACATCTACGCATCTCTCAATCCATACAGATAAGAGACTCCACTCCTGTGAAGTTTTTGATAGTGTTGCTTCAGGAAGGTCTTTACCAGTGCTTATGTCAGCTATCAGTCCAAAGAGAAAGCCCTGTTAGCCACGGGGCTCTTTGGTAGGGCTCTGGAAAGTAACCATTCACTGATTGGCATCCAATGTACTCCACATTACCATCAGGTGAAGATCATTTGAGACTCAAACCCTATATACATAGGAATAGTATAGTACAGAAATACACACAGCAAGCTGTAGGTTGCTTATCAAGGTCACAATATTGTGCATTGCATAGAGGTTCTCATCTAGTGCATGATACATTTGAGGATGATAGTAAACTGACTTATTTCTACAAGAGGAAACTTATTTGTATTTTAGACAAACTCTTAAAAAGAGAGAAGAGACTGCCACTAGCCCCCTTTTGCAAGTGAAACCCAGAAATGTAGGAGTTAAAAAAAAAACACAAAGGATATCCAGCAATACCTCAGACTAAAAGCTGCTACTATGCTCTGAAAGTCACAGCACTAACCAAATGCAAAGCTGCTTTGTCAGGAGGTGGTCATTTTCTTGAGCCTATAAAAATTCAGTTAACAAGCAACTCACTGTAAAGAGCTACAGGTGAGATTAAAAAAAAAAACACACACACCCTCAGTCATACACAACTGCACTCTGGTTGTACCTTCAGCAGCCATACCTTGCCTGCACCGAACACAGAAAGGGCCAAACTCCACCTTCAAAACAGGCTAAAGATGTTAGTTATGTAATTGAAGGATTGTGTATCCATACCAAATATTATCGATTACACAACTATTTAATAGTCCCCAGGGGCAGGGCCAGAAGCCAGTGTCTCCTGGCCCCACTCTCAGAGAGCCCCCTGCCACCCTGCGCTGCTGCCTCTGAATCAGAGGCAGCAGCAGGGGGTGGTAAGCAGGAGCTGGTCCACATGGGGGCAGCACGGTGCGGCGGTGGCCTCTGTCTGCGGGAGCCCAAGCTCCCCATGGACAGGGGCTGTGCTGGCATCCTACCTTCACCCACACTTCCTCTGTCAGAGACAGCAAGGGGGAAGGCAGGCAGCTCCACAAAGCCAGCATGTGCAGAGAGCCAGCTTAAAAGCTGGCTCCCCACGCGCATCAGCTCCTGCCTCCCCCAGCTGCATCAAATGCATCTGTGCGAGGGGAGCAAGCAGCTCCACGGGATCCAGTGTTCATAGGGAGCCAGCTTAAAAGCCAGCTCCCCCCCCCCCCCATTGCCTCTGAAACAGAGGCAGCAAAAGGGGTGGGGAAGTTGTGTAGTAGGCATCAGAGGGCAGAATTTACACTACAAAGATCTCAGGTACTAGGATGGATTCAGATTTAAGCTGCAGCAGTTTTACACAAACACTGGTGCAAGAGAAATGAGTGTAAGGCCCCCATACTGTGGGATTTCCTGGAACGTGTCATTTGGGTTTTTACGTGCAATGCTCCAAGTTAATTTCTTTATATATAAAAAAGGACAGTGCACACAGCAGTAAAGTAAGTAGTTGCGATGACAGGTTCACAGGAATGAACTGTGAAATAAGTTTTCAAATGTTCTCTACTGTTTACAGGGTCACACAATTAAACAGCTGTATTTATTTCCTGGAGAGGCACTGCCTACACCATGCAGAACTGGCTATTAAGATCCCTTCAGTATTTCTCTTGCAAAAAAGGTTTGTAAAAAGTTCAGTGGAAACTAACCCCTATCTAGTCTTTATCTGGAGTGCCACAGAGTGGCAGAAGTGGGGAATTTCACAGGTTTGTATCAGGCCCTATTAATGTCAATGGGAGTGTTATCAGAGACTTTAATAGGAGTTGCACCAAGCCTATGGATCCTGTGAAGTGTTTGAAAGCCATCCAGGGGTTACTTATTTTAATTAAGGGCTAAATCCACCACCAGTCTGAAGTGCTGTTCATGCACTAGTCTTTATGCTGTTTTAAGGGCTCAAGTCTGCTAGACTACACCAGTGAAGTCTCTGGGGTTTCATGGCTGTGCATGCACAGCTCATGAACAACTTGGTTGCAGTTGTATTTCTTCTGGGACCCCCATTTCACAGATGGGAAATGAAGCATTTAAGGGCATGTTTACACATCCTGCAAAAGCAAGCTTCCCAGCCTAGTCTAGCAGGACTTGCTCTATTCCCTCTCCCAAGGATTCAGAGACATCACTTCAAAGTGCTGCCTACAGAGTTATTTTTAGAGTCCCAGAAGCCTGTTAACCCAGAAGGCTTGCTGCTGTGGGTGGTGTCAACATACATGGAGAAGCAAAGGGACTTGTTCAAGGCCACATGGAAAGTCTGTGGCAGAGCAAGGAAGTTGAGCCTGGGTGTCCACTCATCCCAGACCACCGCATTATACTTCACCTAGCCCTAAAAACTGCTCCTACAGAGTTATTTTTAGAGTCCCAGAAGCCTGTTAACCCAGAAGGCTTGCTGCTGTGGGTGGTGTCAACATACATGGAGAAGCAAAGGGACTTGTTCAAGGCCACATGGAAAGTCTGTGGCAGAGCAAGGAAGTTGAGCCTGGGTGTCCACTCATCCCAGACCACCGCATTATACTTCACCTAGCCCTAAAAACTGCTCAGGGGGGGGGGGGGGGGGGGGGGGAGGAAGAGGACTTCCCAGGACACCCCACTCCACTGTGTGGCTAATACGGTCAGCTATACTTTTACCGGATTGCACTTTTTCCTGGAGCAAGAATTAGCTTTGGAAAAGTCATGCCATAAAATACCTTATGCTTCAAAATGAACTGCTAGTAAAACTGCAGGAAGACAAATAGAGAATTGCCTGTCATGTATATGCCTGTGCCACTGGAAGGCTTTTTTAAAAAGTCTTCCCATGAAGAACAGCCTAACTGGAACTTTACTACATAATACTTACATTTTGCAAACTGGGAGCATTTAGTGCTTGAGAAAGTGAGGGACTTCACAACACTCTGCTCTCAGTAACATTTGCAGTGCAAGTTTTCCCCACCGAGCTCTGCCCATACTTCTTTATCCTGACCTGTAATACACCCTACCATATTGCTGGTGTGGGCCTTTCTGGAACAAAGATTTGGGGCAGACCATAGCAGTTTTATGTTGTCCTTACTGCTGCTTAGAATGAAATCAACCACCTCCTTTTCACCTATAAAACACACTGGAATTGAACTCTAGTCTGCACAGGTGAAAAGTTAGCATACTAACCTAACACAGAAGTAGCACACCTACTTAATATTTAAAATTAACAAGCTCAAAGTGCAACTGAACACTCTCAATGCACTACTTATTAACACACACACACACAGGGGAACAGCAGGTAGCAACCAGAAGCATTATTTCTTCTCAACAGGTAAGGCTTTCCCTTGATCTTCCACTTTTTTGATGGCAGCTTGGATCGCCTCTTGATCACCTAGAAACTGGTGACGGCCCAGCGGGTGCAGATTCTCATCGAGCTCAAGGAGCACAGGCACGCCAGTAGGGAGGGTAACATTAACTATTTCCTCATCGGAGATACCTGCAAAGAGAGAAAAAACAAAAAACCTCACACCATTAAACCCAGCACAAGGCAACTTCCTGCCTTCAAGAGTGCCCCCAAAATATCTCCAAAGACATAGGCCCACATTCTACATTGCTGCCGCAAGCTGTTCAGCTAAGCAAGTGGAGCATTCACACTACCAAGCCTGTTATTTCAAAATAACAGGCTGGTTATTTTGAAATCTGTATTCCTGCTTTCCTTGGGGAAGATGCTTATTCTGAAATAGTTATTTTGCGAGTTATTTCGAATTTAGTTTCCTTGTGTGGATGTGTCACAAGAGAGGAAGTAAATAGTTTCTCTTCCCCAGCCCACGTAGGTGGCTCAAATGGAAGAGAATTTGCCTGTGTTCTGCTAGGCAGCTTTTTGGGACAGGGGTTGCTTACTGGTTGTTTCTCTATATCAGGTAAAGTTTTCAAAAAGCATCTGAATGTTTTTTGGAGCACGAGTCCCCTTGACTTTTAATGAGACTTAAGGTAGGTCTATACTTTTGGAGTGGGAAAGTGTAAATTCTAGGGATGTAAGAGACTAGTCAACTAGTGATGTGACTAGTTGCTCCTCTCCCAACCCCCCCCCCTTGCTGCCTCTTATCAGAGAGAGGCGGGGGGGGGGGGGGGGGGCAGAAGCCTGTGTTGGGGGGGAGCTGGCTTAAAAGCCAGTCCCCCAATTCCCCCCCAGCTCTGTCTCCGTGGGGGTCAGGAAAGGTAGAGGCAGTGTGGAAATGGCGTGAGTGGAGAACTGAAGCAGCCTCCACTTCTGCTGCAGTTCTGCCTTTGAAATGTACAAGAGCCCTACCAGAGCTCTTGTACATTTTCAACGGCCAAGGTGCTGCAGGGAGCATGGGACCAGTGGAGGATTCCCTCGCTGGTCCTACGCTCCCTGGCTCCCTGCAGGGCTGACTTTTGAAATGTACAAGCTACAGTTCAAAGCAGAGTCACCCTTATAGACTAATCAAAGTCGATGGAAATCCCATTCACTATTTGGTTAATCTCAATTTAACATCTATAATAAATTCCATCTCATGGAGACATACCCACACTAGCTCCGATAGCATTAAAAACCCCAGAGTGTAGCCATAGTGCAGCAAGCAATTGGGAAGGGTTAGTTGTTTTATACTAGTTTTAAAGCTGGCATCTGTATCTCTAGCACCAGCTGTAGACATACAAGAGCCAAAGGGTAACAGTGCATGTGCTTGTGAAAATTTTGCCCCCATGGCTGCACTTATTTCCACCCCACAAGTTTGTGCAAATTGCTGATAAGGTCTTGGATTATCAAGAAAGGGGTTACAGAAGCAGATTGTAATTGGAAAGCTAGGTAGCCTGAACAACCGACTTCCTAAACAGATAGCTGCAGCGACACAGGAGCAGCAAACAGAGCTGTAAACAGGGGAGTTTGTAAAGGGAGTTTGCACGTTTTACAGGTGTCCTCAAGACTTTCTTTTAAAAAAATTGATTTTTTAAAAATTAAACAGGTGTGCATTCCAAATGGAGCTGGCTCCTTCCTGCACTATGCACTTATCTGAATTTCTGGATTGTTTCCAAGTGAAAAGCAGGATTTATGATTAAAACACCCGATACTATAATTCTTGCTTAACATTTAAAAATAAAGGGAGGAGGGATATCTCCTGGTAGGTTGAGTACATTCTGTATTTGCCTTTATTAATATGATGCCCAAGACTATTTTAAAATAAATATATTTAATATATTTGGAAATAAAGAAGCCAAAGGTGTGAAGATTCATTTTTAGCAGAAATCTACAATAATTCTCGATCAAGGACCTCAGAGGGGGGACTGCAGAGCAAAGAAAATGGACAGTGGAAGCATGTGACTCAGAGAACCAGGCAGAGGAAAAGATGGGTCAGTGAAGGAAAAACAGAGCTCAAGAACAGGTATGTGGAGCTGATCAAGGACCTCAGAGGGGGGACTGCAGAGCAAAGAAAATGGACAGTGGAAGCATGTGACTCAGAGAACCAGGCAGAGGAAAAGATGGGTCAGTGAAGGAAAAACAGAGCTCAAGAACAGGTATGTGGAGCTGGAGAATGAAGAAGGGGTACAGCAGGTAGATAATGAAGATGGAAGGGTAAGG